CTCGCTCAGCCAGTGAGCGGGAACCGGTCTGTATGTGGGATCCGAACCCTCGGCGGGAGCGCCACCGCGCTCCCAAGCGGCGCACTGTAGCAGTGCGCTACTGGGCCAGCCCATTATTTTAAGCTTTAAATACCTAATTTGATCTAATCATAACTCTACTTATTTAGGTGATCTTTAATCTATCTCAGCAGTGTTTTGTAGTTTTCAGACTGCAAGTCTTAAGTCTGATTAATTCCTAAGTTGTTCATTTTAAAAATATTATTAGAAATAGTATTATTCCTTTAATTTCAATTTCCAATTGTTTGTTGCTAGTACATAAAATTAAATTTCATATATTAATCTTATATCTCGCAGTCTTGCTAAATGCAGTTATTAGTTCTTATAGCTTTTTCGTAGACTATATAGGTTTTTTTACATGGATAATCACAGATTGAAAAAAAAAAAAAGACAGTTTTACTTATCCCTTGTCAATCCAAATGCCTTTTATTTCTTCTTCTTTGCTGTACTGTCTAGTACCTCTAGTAAAATGTTGAATAGAAATGGCAAGAGTGGATATCCTTGCTTTGATCCTGATCTCATGGGGACAGTATTCAGCCTTTCACTCTTAAGTACAATGTTAGCTGTAGTTTTTTCCTACATGCCTTTTATCAGGCTGAGGAAATTCCCTTCTAGGCCTAGTTTGCGCAGAGTCCCTACCCGCCCCCCAAAAATCAGAAATGGATACTGGCATATGTCATATGTTCTTTTGCATCTATTTAGCTGGTCATATAGGTTTTTAAAAGTCTGGCTAATACAGTGAGTTACATTGCTTTATAATCCAATGTTGAATCAATCTTGCAATCCTGGGATAAAGTTATTTTGGTCATGATATAATACCTTTTTTATATATTACTGGATTTAATTTATTGAAATTTTATTAAAGATTTTTACATCTGCTCATGAGAGAAACTGGTCTGTAATTTTCTTTTCTTATAATGTCTTTGTCTGGTCTTGATGTCAAGGGAATACTCCCTCATACAATGAGTTGGGGAGTAATCCCTCCTCTTCAATATTCTGCAAGAGTTTGTGTAGAATTGACATTCTTTCTTTCTTTAATGTTTGGTAGAATTCACTACTAAAGCCATCCGCACCTGCAGATTTAAACTACAAATCTGATTTCTTCAATTGATACAGGGTTATTCAGGTTGTCTATTTCATTTTGAGTGACTTTTGGTAGTATGCATTTTTTAAGTAATTTGTCCATTTCATCAAAGTTGTTGAATTTATTACCATAAAGTTGATCATAATAGTCCCTAAATTATTCTTTCAATATCTGTAGACTCCATGGGTTGTCTTGTCTCTCATTTTTACATTGGTAATTAGTGTCTTTTATCTTTTTGTCTGATCAGTATGGCTACAGGTTTACCAGTTTTGTTGACCATCTCAAAGAACCAGCTTTGGTTTCATAAGAAAATGTATAGAAATGTATTATTTTATCTGTTTATTCATTTCATTGATTTCCACTCTAATCTTAATTATTCCCCTTTTTCTACTTAATTTTTTTTGAAGACTTCTTTTTTTAGAGCAGTTACTAGGTTCACAGCAAAATTAAGAGGAAGGTATAGAGATTTCCCACTTACCCCCTGCTCCCCCACATGTAGCCTCCTCCCTCATTATCAACATCCCCCACCAGTGTGGCACATTTGTTACAATGGAAGAATCTATATTAACACATTAAAATCACTCAAAGTCCACAGTAGACATGATAGCAGAGATGGAGACTGTGTAAGGCCCCAACAGAATGGGCTTCCACTTAGTAAGGATAATGTAGCTCTTATAGCTGTCAATAGCAGAGACAAACAGTTAACTTCTGATGCACATTTACACTTTGCAAAGACTAATCAGCTGTTTGGTGGCAAGTAGACTATGCTGGACACCTCTTACCCTGGAAGGGGCACAGATTTTTCTGAACTGAAATACATACATATTCTGTGTTTTGGTTTGATTCTCTCGCTCACAGAAACTCAGCCAACACCATTATCCAAGGGCTTACAGAGTTATCCACTGACACAGGATTCTATACAATATTGTATTAGATAAAAAGACCCAATTTACAGCATACGTACTATGGCAGAGGGCACATGACCACAAGACTCCACAGTCCTGTTGCATACTGCACATGTAAAAGATGTTGGCCTGATAGAGCAATGGAACGATTTACTAAAGGCACAGCAGAGGTGCTGACTTGGAGACAATAACCTGCAAGGGTGAAATGCCATCCTCCAGATGCAGCATTACATTCTATATCAACACCATTATATTTCATATGGTGTTGTGTTACCATATGAAAGAATTACATGGGTCCAAGGGACAAAGTAGATATGATCCTTCTTATAATCACTCCCAGTGACCCTTTTGGTGAAGTTGTGTTTATTGTTCCCAGAACTCTGGGTCATACCACTAGCTTAGGGGAATCTAAAATGGATAGTAGAGAGATATGATGGCTATAAGTGTGGTCTTTAGACCAGCTCCAGAAGTACAAGCTGTAGTTTGTTCTACTAACCTTCCTCTTACAAGTTTTCCCCTGAACTTATACAAAGAGGTAGATCCATGCAGTACAGTGTAGACTATAGTGGATGCTGTTACACAGCACCGAAATCTCCACTCAAATCTGAAAACTCTTCTCTTAGTTGAAAACCCTCGGCTGCCAGCCATCTTTAGGAACTTCCCCTGGAAAAGAGCTGTCTCACCCAAGGCCACCCCCTTTACTGGAGCACCCTATATCTAATGACTGGTTGATGTGAAGGAATAAAGGCCTGGACTCCCTGTCCAAACTTGTGACAACTCTGATGGGCCATCTCAGCTTCAGAGCTCCCCATGAGGTCGGTCATATGAGGTCTTTGCTGAATTGGTAGAATTCGCCTAATTCTATTTCTTTCCTTCCCCTACAGTTGTTGGTCCTGAGAGCCCTTCCTAATAAACTTTCTGCAAGCTAATTTCCACTTCAGAGTCAGTTTGTCTCCTGAGTAACCCAACCTGTAACAGGCAGGTAAGTGATACATGCTGATGTAGGGAATGGTGGAGGAAAAACAGAACTTCAGTTTTTGACTTTTTAATCTGATATATGTTGATATCAGTAGATTTAATATATAACATATGAACTTGGCATTCAGGTGAATTGAGGCTAAAATCCAGAGATAAAATTTGGGAATTATTACTAGAAAGGTGGAAATTGAAACCACGAATGGATGTAAGATCGCCAATAGAGTTGGTACAGAATGAGAAGTGGGCCAAGGACAGAGACTTAGAAAATAGCAACATTTAAATGAAAAGTAGAGGAAAAGTAGTTCACCAATAAAACCGCTGTGGGAAAGCCACAGATGTCAAAGAACCAGGAAGATAAGATATTATGGAAGCCAAGAAAGAGCGTCAAGAAGGGAGAGGTCGAAAACATCCATGTTACAAACGGCACATAAGAACAAACAAGAGGTGCTCACTGGACACTTTTACCTAATAAGAAGATAATTTGACTTTAATGAAAATTGTTCAGTGGACTAATGCGAGCCAAACTGCATCAGAGTAACGGCAATAATCCCCAAAACATGGTGATGCAATGCTGGGGGAAAGAAAATGTATGGCAGTATGGGGGAGCACTGGATGAAGGGAGTTTGTCTTAAAGATCAGAGAGTGAGAGAGACACTGATTGAGACCTGAGCATGTTTAAATGGTGATGAAAGAGAGTAAGAAAAAGAGCATAACTAAATGAGATAGGGCATAGAGGAGGAAGAAAAGGTTTGAGGATGGAAAAGTGAGGATAAAATACTATTAGTTTTGAAAATGTTGAGCTTGAAGTGAAAAAATTATGTGTAAGTAGAGATATCCAAAAGAGAACTGCATAAAGCATAGAAATATGAGAAAGAAGTGGGAAATATAAGATTCTGAAGATTACAAGCAGGAAGTTGGAGCAGTCTATGTACATGTACTGAAAATTATTCTATTAATATTTTACTTACCTGATCTAGGTTTGAAAGACTGTTTGGATCTTTACTGAGGACTTGGTACTGGCCCCTGAGCCTGTCACCTGCTGCAATTCTCCTGAACTTCTTGAGATCCACCACGTATAAGGCACTACAAAAACAATACACCTTGACAGTCTGTGTTGTTCATGTAGTTTTAATTTCCCCCAGTGAACGTCTACAGTAATGGTATTAATTTAACTATAGATATTCTGGGGTCTAATAATAATCAATTCTTTCATAAATTTGCTCCTAATATACCTAAAACTGCTTCCAGGGAGTTTGAAGTTTGTTATAACTCTGGTAGGATCCATATTCTTTTAGGGGCACCTCAAGTTTTTCCAAGTTGTCATGAAACTCACGGCCCTACAAAAGAGTAAGAGCTTTGAAGATAGTATCTTCATTTTGTTATTTGACAAGCCACGTTTAAATCTTCTGCAGTAGTTAGGAGCATATACTCAAGCCATATTACTTGGGTTGAACTCCTGAGTCAGCTATGTACTAGTAGTTTAAGCCTGGGCAAGTTACATATATGCTGTATGTCTCTGTTTCCACATCTATGAAATGGAGATAATAACAGTATTTTAAAAGGTTGTCATAAACATTTTATGAGTTAATATATATAAAGGCTTATAAGGGTGATTAGCATGTAATAAGCACTATGTAACTGGAGGAGCACAGGGACCTCAGGAGCTGAGAGCAGCCCATGTTGACAGCCGGCAGGAGTGTGGGACCTCAGCAGTCAAAGGAAGCCCCTATGGACAGACAGCAGAAGTATGGGGCACCGTTTGACAGGCAGCCCGCTGCTGCCAGACACCACCACCATGTGGGTGGTCCACCACAGCCAGTGCCACAGCTACCACTGCTGCAAGGGTGGCCTGCTGTAGCAGCTACCACCACTGTGCAGGCAGCCCACCAACCACTTGACTGTACTGTCACAAGGAGGGTCACCAGCGGATCCTGGAGAAAGAGGTGAATGAGCGCAGACTCATGACCTAGTGGCCCAACTCACTGCGGAATTATAAGGGAATTATAATGTCCCCCCCCCCCAGTCGCTGGGTGGGAGGTATGTGCGCAGTGCATGTGACTGCCTTGATCCAGGGAGAGACACATGTGGAATTCCTGGAGAGTGCAGAAACCCAGAATAGCCAAATAGGTAAGGAAGAAAATTCTCAGCCACCATCAACCCATCCCCCAACTGAGGGAAGTAAGGACCAAGGAGAAGCCTCTGCCTGTAGGAAAGAGAAACCCCACCCAGGGTCACCCATTCACACTGAGGAGTTCCAGTATACCCCACAGCACCCAACAGGGTTACAGGATGCTAGCCGGGGTGCCAACACCTGCCTAGGGTCACCCACTCCACCCAAAGAGCAAAATGGCACTTCTCCCAAGAACTTGAGAGTTTGTCCACATCCTTGATGACCCAACACAATGTCATGAACCTCAGCAAAGAATCACTAAGTGCCCCAGTGCCTTGGCCATGGAGGCACTCAACATGTAACTCAGACATTAAGTATGACTGATGTACTGACACGGAGACTATACTACTTAATCTACCTGGAACCAAAACTAAAAGACTCTATCCAACTGTCAATATAAAATACATCTACAGGAAGGAGTCTTTCTCCTCAAAAGCTACTCCAGGGTAACAGAAGAAGCAACCACTCTACCAGATGACTGGCAACAATGCAGAAATACTAGAAATATGAAAAACTAATTGGTTGCCATTACTGTCTAATATCTATGAAAACTGAATGCTGTAATTCAATATTTATTTATTTACTGAAAGGTAATAGTATGGATTTTCTTACCTGATATGGTATTTCCTTCTTAAAAGATGTGATGCCCAGTACCCTGTTTTCCAAAAACGATACCCATCCATTTCAGTGCGGCTATCACAAAATGGAGTATACCCATAAGGAGCTCCATCCAGATCGAAATCTCGAAGTTCTCTTAGGTCATGTCTCACAACCTAAATAATTAAAACAGTGTCTCTGTTGAAGACTATAAAATAACATAAGCCCCTGTTACAGGAATTTCAAATCATTATTATACTAACACAGAGGCACAGAGAACTGCATTTTGCTCACAGTGCTTTCATGTGATGTGAATTTACTAAAGTTTAATTTTTTTCTTCTTGTCCTTATAAGTTAAAAGAAACCTAAAAATTTATATTCCTAGTCTATATGACTGTGGTCTTACCTACCAGTAAGAATACTTTGTTCTATCATTCCTAAACAAGGTATTTTACACAATGTACATTTTGGGGTTAAATATTATATAAGTGCACAGCTCATTTTCTCAATGCATGAATAATTCAAAATCATGTTTATGTTATATCTTAATTATTGCATAATGGCAAATATTAGTATGAACCACAAAGAAAAATCTCCTGATTATTCTAAACAGTTGTAATGAAATAATGTTAGTATGTTTTATTTTTAACAGACTCAAGCCTGCTGTAAAAATATTAGTGTATATATATATATATATGCTGAGGGAAGATAGGAAAAAGAATTATATTAGACACTATGTTTGGAAATGCTACTTTATCATCTATACTTGAGTATTTTCTTAATCATTATTATAATGATTCATAGTTATCAATTTGAAAAACAGTATAAAAATAACAGTTTAGAAAAAAATCCTAATATAGAACTTGAAAATATACTTCTTGTCCTAAACATATAAATTTCAACTTATGCATCTAATTTACAATACACTTATATTTATATATTACTGTTCTTAGAAATTCTGTATGGTTTTAAAATATTTTTCCCATTAATGATTACAAAGGCAATACAAGGAGGGAAGGGGGAAAAGTAGTAATTTTTGGACATACAAATTTTGAAAGCTGAGGACCTTAATTTTTTTTGTGGCCTAATTTAGAACATTCTTTTCCTTACTAGTAGAGAGATGAGAATTTGGTTACTGGCTGAATACCAAAGAATACTACTGAAGGCGGAAGAATGAAAGGAGAGTTGTAATTGTTAACTTTTTGAGCAAGAAGAAATAGCTAATTTTAAACAGATATCAGCTCATACTCATAGAACTCATGTAACTACTCTTATTAAGACTAATATATTTATTTTATTTTTAATTCCAAAACTTAAAACCACACTACTTCAGAGTTAAAACCACTATTTCCTAAACAATAAATGGTACTTTTTCCAATACCTTCAATTTCCGCCCCCCCCCCCCCAAACAGATATCAGCTCATACTCATAGAACTCATGTAACTACTCTTATTAAGACTAATATATTTATTTTATTTTTAATTCCAAAACTTAAAACCACACTACTTCAGAGTTAAAACCACTATTTCCTAAACAATAAATGGTACTTTTTCCAATACCTTCAATTTCCCCCCCCCCCCCCCCGAATTCTTACAGTTTGTTTTTAAAGGTATTTTGCTCAGTACAATCACGTCTTAAACGTTTATGTAGCACGGCAACAAAGATAATAAACAGAAGCAACACAAATTAAGTCCTTATTTTCAGACAGAAGTGTAGAAAAGGTTTGAGTACTACTAAAAACAACAGTTAATCTTATTACCTGGTCAGCATCAACAAAAATGATTTTGTCCACTGCTAGTGGAAAAAGGACATCAAGGAAAAGAATTTTGTAACCCCAAATAATCCTCTGTTTTTCAGTCTGTTGATGAAGCCAGTGGGGCCACTTATACTGGACTAGTTCATATTGGAAACCATATTCCTTAGCCATGTGAGGAATTACCTCCTAAAAACATAAACACACACACACAAAATCAAACAATATGCTCAAGAAAGAGAAAGCAGTTTTGTTTTAGAGAAAAAAAAATAATTTTTAAGAGGTAGAGTTTACTATAAATTATTATAAAGTAATTGGTAAAATATCTAAATACAACTTCTGTAACTTATACCTATTAATGAGAAATATAAAAATGAGGACAAGAATGAAAACACAAGTAAACATAAAACTATATAATTTAATGTCATTAAAAATAAATGTGCTATATTAACTAGCAAGCTTATTAACTAAGATAAATGTTTCCCATTCTTTTACTACTACTGTTTGACTTGAGAAAACTTGATTCTAGGAAGAAAAGTCTCTGGATCTTGGAACACCTATAGATCAAACAGTTTATGTATATGTCAACATGTTGGCTGAGACACAAAGATGAAGAGGGTGTACAAAAAACACAACATGAGTTGTAAATTGATAGATTCTCTACAGGCATTTCATGTTTGAGATTTACAACTATTTAATTCAAGGATTAAAACTACAAGGCAGTTATTGTGGTCTGAATATTTGATATCTCATTCAGTGTCTTCTAATAGAAGCATCTTACTCCTCACTTAAACCAGAAGCAATTAATGAAATACACTGTTGGCTAAGTATGGTTCAAGAGCCAAACATTGACAGGGAGAACAGCAAAGGAGCAGGGAAAGATGGGTTAGTGAATATAGAATTTGCCCTGCCCCACTGTCAATTCTTGTCACTATTTGCCAGTTACATGCTTAGTTTTTCTCTGCTTTTGTAAGACCAATGTATATTTAAAATACATTCTTTAATGTAAGCATCAACTTTATCTGTAAATTTAAATGTTGAAATTATGGCTAGAACAGTCACTGGGAGTCACTGTTTTGGTTTTAAAATAATATAAAACATTAGGAGAAATTAAAGAGGAAAAAACATTTTTTCTTTATTCAACAAATACGTATTAAAAATAGTCGCTGAACATGAAGTATGTGCCAGGTACTGTTCTAGGCCTTAGGGATACAGTAGTGAACAAAAGAAATATAAATCACGGCCCTTCTGAGGCTTATGTTTTAGAGACTGTAGGTAGAAAATAAATGAAATTATTAAGTTATAAGTAGAAGATAGTTCTACGGAGAAAAATAAAAACTGAAGGGGACTAGAGTGATAGATAAGAGGGAACTGTAGTATGCATAGTGTGCTCAAGAAAGACTTATTCTTAAGTATAATTTTAGCAAAGATTTAAAGGAAGAGAGGAGGTATAGCTTTGCAGGGAATGGATCTAGAATTCTAGCAATTTCTCTTTCTGGCTGTTGGTTACACAGATGTTTGAAGTTTGCAAGAAATCATCAAAGCTACACAGTTATGACTTGTGAACTTTTCTGTGCATATGTTATATTTCATTAAGAAGTTTTTGAAAAAAAAATTTTGAGGGAAAGAAACAAATTATCCAAAGAAAGAAAATACTATTTCATATATAGTATTACTTTTGGCCACGCAGTGGAACAACACTCTTTAACCAGAGACAGCACTATTTTTCTAGCGAATATCATTTCCTCCTAAAAGAATCTTGAGTTTTTATTGTCTCAGTTTATACAGAGTTAAGCCCCCTATGCCATTTGTGTAGTGTTTGGCTAGTAGGATAACATGTTAAACATTTAATAAAAATATAGTGTAACTTCTTGTCTGTACTCATATTTATGGGTTCTTTTTTCAGTTTTTTGTCTACTGCCAAATGAGCACAGGATAGGGCACTGTTGGTGGTGGGGGGCAGTCAGGTTGTTACATAGGGTTAAGCACCTGGGCTTTGAGGTCAAAAGGGTTTGGTTCAAATCTCAGCTATGTTCCTAATTAGCTGTTTTATCTCAGGCCTGTGCTATAAAAGATGAATCTTGCTCAAAGAAAGCTGTGACCCTTTGCCCCTAGCTCCTGGGAGTTACTTCTACGGTTGGAATGCTCTGCCTGATAAAAATGTCTTTGTTTACCTGGGAACCGTGGGCCACACTAGAAAGTCCACGCTAACAATATGATTTATAATGAGGACCTTGGAACACAAAGCATCAGCTTGGCCTCTGGGGACACCAGGCCTAAGGTCAGCCATGCAGGTTGTCAACTGGGTCTACATGGCCAACCCCCAATAAAATCTCTGGACACCAAAGTCTGAATGAGCCTCTTTGGCTGGCAATACTCCATGGGTACCATCACACGTTGTTGGGAGAAATATGTGCTGTCTGCACGACTTTACCAGCAGAGGACAAGTGGAGACTCTGTGTCTGGTCTCTCCTGGACTCTTCTCTTTGCACCTCTTCCTTTTACTGATTTTATTTGTATCCTTTTGCTATAACAAACTGTAACTGAGTATAACTGCTTTTCTAAGTTCTGTGAATCCTTCTAGTGAATTATGGAACTCAGGAGTGGCCTTAGGTACCTCCCAATTGTGCATGCCTGTTATGTAACTTCTGAGTCTTAGTTTTCTTACCACATGGGATTGCTATAAAGAACAACTGAATAATGTTGGTAAAGTACTTAGCAACATACATGGAAATGTTAAGGAATAAAAGCACGATTGGCTATTTTTACCCTTGCTTTTGACTATTGTTGTGGTTAAAAGCAAGAAAAAGAGGACCCTAACTTTCATGGAATCTGATTATTCTGTAGTGAGAACAGGAATAAACAGAGTTCACTTTGCAGCAGGAATGTGGGGCTGGGTAAAGGATAACAGATGTTGGCCACCTGCAAACTTAATCTGACCATGGTGCCCAGACCATCACAGCAATCAATGCACTGTACAAAGACAAAAGAGCTTTGTGGTTCTCAGTACTATAAAACGATTTTCTATTGTATAGTTTTCATATTTTCTTGATACTTCTACTGTTCCTGCTTACCTTTGTAAAAATATAACAGAATCCAATTCTTTTAATTGAAAATATGTATAAATTTTCCATTGCCAAATTTTATTTATTCATTATTGTAAGAAACTACTAATCACTCTGATTTTGATTTTGCTTAAAAATATACTTTCTGCTGCAGTCCTTTCCTTTTAACACCTCTCTAAATAAAAATTGCACAGAAGTTTTCTTAAGCTAGACAAAAAAGATACTGAATACCAGTTTTAAAATTTATTAACAATAGTAATTTGAGTAAACATACATTTCAAAAGCCTCATTCTAAAGAAAAATGTTATAAGAACCTACAATAAAACAAAGAATTTACTATTCAAACATTTCCAACATTAACTCCTCTGGGAAAAGAGTAATGTACTTACTTTAAATGTTGGTGACAGATAATTTTTTAGAAACCAGAATTTCACTGTTGTTTTGGTGTTACGTAAAACAGAAAGCATCATAATTCTGTATAAAAGAACATTAAAACCAATATAAGTTAATGCTAACAGGAGTTCATTCTACTTTTTTAAAGGCTTTTAAATATTTAAAGGTATGAATTAGAAATTTGTCACTAAGAATTGTGGAGAAACTGAAATATCTTCAAATACTACGGTTGATCAAGAATGTAATGTACAATGATGGATATATATGTATATGTATGTGTGTGTATATGTATATATTTGATACAGACTAAATTGATTGGTTTTTGTTTGTTCCGGTTGACAAAGAAGATAGTCTTGTTTAGCTGAACTAGAGTCTAATTTTGTCTCTATTACTATGTGATTAACATTAGGTCTGCAAAACTAGAAGAGTTGAATAATCTTTCTATATTGATAAATTCACTAGACGGGTCACTTGTTTTGCTATCCTAGACTTCTGAATAGAGAAGACACAAATGAATCTAAAGTTCCATTTTAAGATATCAACACTACAATTAAACATTTTTGAGGCATTCTCTGAGGCATCTGTGACCCTTGTATATAAACTGTTAAAAAAACAGCCCTTAGCACTGTGTAAATATGCTTTCCTCCTCTCATCCCTCTCCTTCTTTTTATAAAAATACATATTTCTTCACTAGAAAAGGAAAATTTACTATATATACTTTTTCTTACCTATTATCTTGTTACAAAATATGTCTATTTTCTAGTCTTAAAACCAATATTCCAATCAAGTCAAACTCATGAAATTTCACTGAATTTAAAAAAATACTTACCTCATAATTATAAGTTAAAAAAAAAGCAGGGTGCAGTTAAAAAAAGATATATATATATATATATATATATCTTTTTTTAACTGCACCCTGCTTTTTTTTTCACTTATAATTATGAGGTAAGTATTTTTTTAAATTCAGTGAAATTTGGAGAGGGAGGAGGGAGGGAGGTTTCGGTGATGGGCCATAATAATCAACCACATTGTATATCGACAAAATAAAAATTTAAAGAAAAAATATATATATATGGAGAGGGAGGAGGGAGGGAGGTTTCGGTGATGGGCCATAATAATCAACCACATTGTATATCGACAAAATAAAAATTTAAAGAAAAAATATATATATATGGAGAGGGAGGAGGGAGGGAGGTTTCGGTGATGGGCCATAATAATCAACCACATTGTATATCGACAAAATAAAAATTTAAAGAAAAAATATATATATATTGGTATTTCTTTTTCTCTGCCTGACTCATTCACTTAATATAATTCTCTCAAGGTCCATCCATGTTGTTGCAAATGGCAGTATTTCATTCGTTTTTATAGCTGAGTAGTATTCCATTGTGTAGATATAACACATTTTCCGTATCCACTCATCCGTCTTTCACCATATATTACTTTATTGTTTCTGAACTTTGAACCACATAACTGTATTACTTTTTCAAAATATTAGGTATAAAATATACCTACCTTAAAAAGCGTTCATATAAATGACCAGAAGCAACTGAAAAAATGTTCAGAACGTCTTGTTCCTTTTTGTCTTCTTCTCTACGCAAACTTATTGTAAAACTTGGAATAAAAAAGTAGGAATTGACAGTTTCTTAATATACATCTGCAAACTTTATAGTGTGATTAAATGAAATACTATATTTGATAATAAAAATGGCTTTCAAAATGAAGTTATTAAACTGTAAACAAACTCTTATCCTAACAACTATGATTTATTAAAATCAAAACATATGACAATTGATAATCACGTCAAGTTTTATGAGTTTTAAAAAAATTTATAACATGGAACGCAATTATATTGTCTCCAGGTTAATAAGGTAGTATATTCGAATCTCTGTGAGTTGCCAAAAGTTGTTTTGAGAACAAAGAATGAGTTACAGCCAGCCGATGGCCATATCGGGTGTATTGAAACTTATAAGAGGCTAATAATGAGGGAGGAAACAGAATGTAGAAGTGACCACAGCACAGCAAGAATTTATATGGTAACAAGGTAGGTCTGGAAGCACTGCTGATCAGTTCCCCCAGGCTAAAATGTTACTAAAAGCACCTACAATTTAGAGCTCCTCTGAGCAGGTATATTCTCTGCTCCATGAAGGCTCTGGAGACCTTTGTACTCTGGGTGACCTCCACGAGGAACGAAGAGAGCACTAGGGAGCCATGTCCACTCACTGATTTACATCATGGTAGCTTAATCTAGACCCAGTTGTCATTTTCACTACTTTTTGGACCCAGACCAACCTAAACTCGTTTTTGTATATGTTCCATCTCATATTAAAAAAATGTCCAAGTCTTTTATGTGGGATATTCATAATGTATAATTTATAATTTTCTTCCTGTTTAAAAAATTTTAAATCTCATTTTTATATAAACATACTTAGAATGACTAAAATTTGGAAAACTAAACAACAATCATCATGAAATATATTTTCCCACATACAAACTGTTATGACAGAAGTATTTTTCAAATCTTCTTTTACTGTATTCCTCCAGATAAGAAAAACAGTTGATTCAATGGCAAAAAATAAAATAAAATAAAATCACTCTAATATTACTCTAAGTTAGGATTAAAACTAATATAAAAAAGTGAAAATATTATAAGACACACAATACTATATATATCTGGAGCAGTTAACATCCCCAAAACTTACTGTCTCTCTAACAAAGTATTATTTTTTTGGCATACTTTTTGTGTACTAAGTGACTATAACATAGTTTAACAGTTATCTTTATTCATTCTCCTCTCTACCTTCTGGGTTTTGTTGCTGCTGTTGTTTTTTCTGTGTGAGTGATCACTAACTTTTATTTAATACTTCCACAGCCTTTGAAATGTTCCAAATGCCTCTGCAGATTTCTTAGGATGGGCTCAATTCCTGTCTTCACAACCTATTGGGGGCAGAAAGTTTCTGTTTTTTTCCCCCTAATTTTATTTACATTTATTTTTGTAGGATACAGTATGTTGTTTCAGTACATGCATATACTGCACAATGATTCACTTAGGGTAGGTGGCATAGTTTGGCACCCATTAGTCCACCACTTCTCCTCCCCACCCCTCCCTGGCCACTGGTAACACTTATTCTATTTTCTACTTCTATGAGAACCCCCCCCCCACCTTTTTTTTTAGATTCCACATATGAGTGTGACAATGTGGTTGTCTTTGCCTGACTTATTTAACATGATGGTTTCCAGTTCCATCCATGTTCCTGCAAATGATATAATTTCTTTTTAGAGCTGAATAGTATTCGATTGTGTATATATACCACAGTTTTTTTATCCATTCATCCACTAATGGGCATTTAGGTTGATTCCCTCTCTCGGCTGTTGTGGAAAGTGTTGTGATGAACAAGGGAGTGTAATCAACCTTCTGGTTTTAATGGAAGACCTTAGACAGATACTCTTATTCTGTGTCATTATGTTCTGTCAAACATACCTACCCTCCCAATCATCTCAAAATGATCTTTTACCAATAACTAGTTCAATGCACTTACTGTGACAGTAACATGGTTCTTCCTACCAAACAAGGAGTCAAGAAAACGAATCCTAAGCTGTGCAAAATCCAAAACAATGAGAGCACTTATGACTGGTTTAACAAGATCTGCTTAGGTTTTTAATCTATTCTATTTAAACTATTTATCTTTGATTAAAATGATCAATGGTTTGCCATCATAATTCAAATCTCTAAAGTGGACTTTCAAAGTTCTACAGGAACTACAGGATCTACAGGAGTCAGCTTTTGTTTTTGTCCTCTTAACATCCTTTCCCCTCTAGTAACGACTAGCTGGGATTTCAAGGGGAACCATTCCTTCTCTGATTTCATTCTATGAGGTTTACAGGGGACAAGACTTCCCACTGGCTCTAAAGGTAGGCCTATGCCCCAGGCTTGTCAGAGTCACAGTGATCAGTTCAGTTTGGGACACATGGCTATAGCTAGACCAATGTGTCAACCTTGGAACTTTTTTTTTTTTTTTTTAATTTCCATAGGTCTTTGCTTAATAAGCTTTACAGCTTTTGCTGGAACTACAGTCATGCACTACATAACAATGTTTCAGTCAATCACGGACTGCATTTACGATGGTGGTCGGAACAACAGGCTATACCATATAGCTAGGTATGCAGTACAATATTCCACCTAGGTTTGTATAAGTAAATTGTATGATGCTCACACAATGACAAAATCACCTAAAGACACATTTCCCAGAACATAACCCCATCGTTAAGTGAAGTTTGACTGTACTTGCAAAGAGGCAACTTCTTCCCACTAGAGATGGTAAACTTTTACTTGTAAAAGTCTATCTGAAAATGAAGGAGGCAAAGAAATAGTAGTAGTAGGAGATGTAGAAAGACATTTTTCAGAACACATCATCTGAATGCCTGGATTCTTTAGATATGTGATCCAATATATTCCTTTTGTGATTAATAATATAATGTAGGTCCCAACCTAACTTATATATTCCCTATTATGTTCAGTGTTGTAGCCTAAGGTGGTCTACATTCTGTTCTTTGAAGAACATACCCAATCTTTTTGCATTTCTGTAACTAGGTTCCTTCACTCTGCCTCCAACATTAAAATTCTGTCTGTCCTTTATAACACATCTCAGCCACACATTTCTCCAAGGAGTCTTTCTTGAGTTTCTTCCTAACTGGATATCCTTTTTTTCCTTTGGTTTGTACACTACTTTATTTTCAGCTGTCTTACAGCTGCAGTTTGCTATCTTTATGTTACTAACATGTGTGTATCTATCTTATCACTCCAAGAGGAGAGGATCAATGCTTTACTTAAATTTTTACCACCTGTAGGGCTTCCACATACTAGATTCTTATCAATCTAGTTATGTGTTAAAAAATTCACTAGTAATTACCTTTTAATGGAATCCCACATTCCTTGGGTTTTTTCATCTTTATCAGTAAGGATATCTTCCTTAATTTTGTCCGGTTTTTTTTGTACCTAGACAGCATGGTAAAGAAAAATTTTAGAATTTGGCAGCTTTAAACATTAGGCTGCATGGTAAGAAAGTGAAACATACCGGGCAAGATTACCCTTGAAAATTTAAGATAGAAAGTGCAGTAAATAAAGCCAGGAAACATCTTAGCACAATGTTATAGACATAATTTGGTTTTCAATTATCAATGCAACCTCTTATTTTTAGTTTTATTGGTGGTTACCTCCATACTGTTAAATAATTTGCTTACACTTGTGTTTTCTTCTTCTTTTTTTTTTTTTTTTGTAGGTTATCATTTTATTATTTTTTTAGGGCTTCTATAACAAATTACCACAAACTTGGTGGCTTAATACACATTATTCTTACACAGTTCTGGAGGACAGATGTCTGAAATCAAAGTGTCCACTAGGTCACACTTTCTCCCAAGTCTCTAGGGGGATAAATAATTTTTCCTAATCTCTTCCAATTTCCAATGGCTCCTGGTGTTGCTTAACTTGTGGCAACATAACTGCAATATCTGTCTCCTTTACATGCCTTTTTTTCCTGTGTCTCAGTCTCAAATACCCCTCTTCTTTCTTTTATAAAGGTATCAGTCACTGCATTTAGGACCTACCCTAAACTCAGATAACGTTACCTACTAGTACTTCTGGATTCAGAGTTTAGACATTATTTACTCTTTCTGATAGATGAGTAGCTTACACTTACATCATCCTTTCCTTCCTCTCTTTGTCTGGAAGTTTTCATTGTATTATCTTTATCTTCAGTTCTTCTAGTGAGTATTTTTCTAACTTTAAATGATGTTTAAATATCCTATTTTTTATTACAACAATTACAACACTTTCTCTTGTATACTGTTTGTATGGATACTAATATCTTTACCCTTCCCTCCACCTCCCAACATACATTAGTTAAAACTTCACTTTAGCATTTGTAAATATAGAGAACATTACATTTAGTTCAGTAAACATAATTGTATCTTTTGCATTTTGCTATGGTGATTCTAAAACTTGAAAATTGGTATATAGTGCTTAATATGACAATGCACATACTATCCACTGAAGAGCATGAAAGGCTACTAAAACTGTATTTCCTCTATATAGTTAAAATGATATGACCACTGTGCCACTCACGGGCGACTCTTCCTAGCTCAAATGAATTCTCCTTTGTTACATTCTTTTCTTGGAATTATTGTCTTTTTATTTTCTTGTGGAGAGAGAGAGAGAGAGAGATATGTCTTCTTTACCACATACCTATTATTTTCCAATTTATTACTCATGTCAGTTAATTGTCTCGAATTCCTGTCTTCTTGAAGATATTTTTCTTGGAGCTCAACAATTAACTGGTGTTTCTTTCTAGACTTTCTTTTTGTTGGTGTACAGATTAGTTTTACCATTTCTTGAACTATCTATCTTCCTTTTTCTTGGCCTTCATCTTTATCATGCTGGCAAACATCTTCAAGAAAGGGTATGAAAAATAATTTTTCTAAATCTTCACACTTCGAAAATTACTTTACTTTGCCTTCACATTTGTTTAAAAATTTGGCTAGATATGGAATCCTAGGTTCAAAATAATTTTCCTCAAAACATTAAAAGCTTTGTTTGGCTTTCTTTTAATACGTATTTTGACAATGACAAGTCTAATGCTAGTGTCAGTGCTGCTCTATTGCAGTGACCTGCCTTATCTCCTTTGTAGCTATTAGCATCTGATGGGGCCATTTTCACCCACCCACTTGGTAATTTGTGGACTCTTTCGACATAAACATTTTTCTCTCTCTTTAGCTATAGGATATATTCCCTTCTCCGTTTTCTGTCCACCCTACCCCCCTCACCCCACTGAATTCCTCTTAGCGGGCTACTGGAGTTCATGGGTGATGCATCCTCTATGCTGCCTGTCTTTTCTCCTCCCTTTTTTTTTTTGTCTTTTTGCTGTAACTCTGAGAAATGAATGGTTAGGAAATAAGACTGTGTTATTAGAAAACAACTGAAGGAGCTAGGTATGGTTAGGCTATAAAATGTTTGTAAGTGGTATCTTTCATAATTCATGAAAATTCTTAGCCATTATTGCTTCAAATACTACCTGTACCCCATTCTTTCTTTCGTCATATTCTGGAACTCCATTTAAGCTGATTTTATCTATTCAACAAATACTCATAAAGTGTTTTACAAAGTTAAACTATCTTATTGTCATAACGGTCATATAAAGTAAGTTCTATATTAACCCCATTTTTTAGATGAGAAAACTGAGACAGAAAGAGGTTAAGTAATCTGCCCAAATGATTACTAATGAGTGGCTTAGGCTTTCTCATTCTGTTCTCTATGTCTTTTATGTTCTCTGCTCTATTTTTCTTTTTTCCTGTCCCTGTTAAATTTGTGATACCTTTTCTAGCCCATCTTCTAATTCACTAATTCTCTCTGCAGGCATGTTAAAGCCATCCACTGAATTCTTAATTTTGGAAGGCAGCTATCACCTTCATTATACTATCGACACACTCAAATTCCTAATTTTATTGTATTGCTCAGTTTCAAAAGTTCTACTTTAAAAAAATGTAATATGTACTTTTTATAGTTTCATGTTCTCTGCAATAATTTTCAAGTTTGTCTTTTATTTCTTCAAACACAGTAAGCACAGTTGCTTCAGAGTCTGGATCAATAATTCTAATATCACGAGTCTCTGTGAGTCTTTTTTTCTGTTGTCTGTTGCTTCTGCTGGTTTTCTTTGTGTATTTGGTTATCTTTGACCATGTGTTGGCCTCTATACTTGAAAAACTTGATTTGCAGCTTAGGCTATTATAATCGTATTCCAGAGATTTATGAATGTTTCTGCAAGATACCTGTATATCCTATCAATCTAGAACTATTTTAGTACTAGTTAAAGTTAAGGGCTCCCTGGACTCCTTTGTGACACAAATTTGGGCTAAAAGACTGTGTGGGGTAACTTTCTTTGTTTCATCCTTACCCTGAAGACATAGTGAGATTATGGCAGAGGGAGTCTTCTAATAGATTACCTAATTTATGGGTTCTGGGGTTTAATTTCTGTCCCCATAACCAGGCAAATTAAATCAAAATAATAGTTCAAGTATGCCAGGATGAACAAATGTTCCCAGGGCACTAAGCAGCATTTTTGGCCCAGAGAAACTTCTGTGCTTGCTGAGTTCACTAGGCTCTTATTTTCCCTTTAATTTTGATTTTGTATTTCTTCATTACCTCGTTATTGTCAGCTCCTCATTGCTTTTAAGATTTTCAAAAACAATTTTATCCAACATTTGAACTAATTTTAAGCAGCAGGGATGGTCCAAAAGAACTATACCTGCCATAATTGAAAGCTCCTTTTCTCTCTCTTTAAGGAAAGAAACATCACTTTTTCCCCCACCAGAACTAACTTCAACCTGTGTTCTTGATCTCATCTATAGAGCCTAATTTGTAACATTATCTGGCTACAGATACAGTAGATATAGTAGATATAGCATGACTTTAAAAAAAAAGATTCCTTCTATCTTCAAGCTCTGCTTTCCCTTCATGAATGCAATGGTCTTCCTTTCTTTTACTGCTAGAATTCCAATACAACATTTTAGATAGTAAAATTAGAAAATGAGTTGTAAAATAAAGATTAATTAATTAAGGACAAAAATGATAATTCTTAATATTAAGAACAAAGCCTATGGGCTGGCCCGGTGGCGCACTGCTGTAGTGCACCGCTTGGGAAGCGTGGCGGCGCGCTCCCGCCTAGGGTTCGGATCCCACATACAGACCGGTTCCCGCTCACTGGCTGAGCGAGGTGCGGGAGCAACACCGAGGGCTGCGATCCCGTTGCCGGTCCCGGTCCGGTACGGGGGCGACACTGAGGGTTGCGATCCGTTGCCGGACACGGAAAAAGACAAAAAAAAAAAAAAAAGAACAAAGCCTATAAAAAAGCTTCTGCCTCACATACTTGTACTTTCAGTATCTTGCTTTTGAAGCTGTCTAATACAACAATTACATCTTCTAGGTCTGGTTCAGAGTCAGTTCCTTCGTGCCTGAAAATAGAAAAATATAAATGTCTATAATTAATTCAAGAATAGACACAATTATTATGGCATAAATACCAGAATATATTCTCTTAGCAATAAATGTAAGTATAATATCACTTATGTATATATCACATTTGTTGGTTTTTTGGTTTTTTGGTTTTTTTTTTTTCATTTCCTGAGTCTTCGGGTAATTTATTTTTATTTTATCATATCATTATACAATGTAAACATTTTTTGTGACCCTTTACCAATTTCTCCCTAACTCCCCTTTTCCCTCCCCCTTTCCCACCTCTGGTGGCCTCACTTGTGTTTTATCCTTTTGAAAAGTTCAAGGAATTATTGTGATTGTTGTAACTTACTTACTTTCTTTTTTCCAGTTCCCACTCATGAGTGAGGACACGCAGTATTTCTCTTTCTGTGCCTGGCTTATTTCACTTAACATAATTTTCTCTAAGTTCATCCATGTTGCTGTGAATGACAGAATTTCATTCTTGTTTGTGGCTGAGTAGTATTCCATTGTGTATATATACCACATTTTCCTTATCCAGTTGTCCATTGATGGACATTTACATTGGTTCCAACTTTTAGCTATTGTAAATACAGCAGTGATAAACATGGGAGTGCAAGTATCTCTTTGATATGACGACTTCTGTTCCTTTGGGTATACACCCAGTAGTGGGATTGCTGGATCATATGGCAAGTCTATCTGTAGTTGTTTGGGGAACCTCCATACTGTTTTCCATAATGACTGCACTAATTTACAGTCTCAAAACTGTGCATCACTTAATACAAGTTAAAACTATATCTTCCACATCTCTAATATATTACAATGAAAATTAAAATGTGAAACATTTTCTAGACTTAAAAGTAGGTTATTTATATATCAAAGAAGTTATATATAAACTGTCCAATACTTTTGAATATTCACCAGCCATTTTGAAATGCCAAAATTTTAACTCACAAGACTGAAAATGTGTCTATGATGTCACTTGCACCACTTGAATGTTTTTATCTTACATTACATATAGTGCAGTTCATTCTCTAATATTCATAACTGCTTAAATAAATCAAATATGACAGCTGTGCTCAATAATTTTTTTATATTATTCTCACTATGTAATTGAAAAATTCTATCATAAAAATATTTACAGTGAAATTCAATTTTGTCAAAGGGGAAGCAATCAGTTGTCAAATTAGTACTATATCTGCTTATGAGTTTAGTCATATTCATAACATATACTTTGACTTTTTAAAAAATGAATATCGGAGATTCTAGCACTTTGATGACTAACACATGCCTTTGATTCCCTCTAAGTTCCAATTCCCCAGTTGAGATGATTAAACCAACGTAGAAGGCAGAGCCCTATCCAACCACTGCCATTAGAAAATAAAAAGGGTTTCAACTTACATAGTAGAAATGACAAATTTCTTGAAAACTTTCAAGCTCTTCTAGTCACAAATATTGCTCAAGGGCATCAGCAACTTCAGCCATCTAATCCATTGTCCACTGAGGCCAGGGCAGAGCCAGCTAGCACATCACTACAGCTAAACCTAAACATGTTCTAGAGCAAACCTCCCTCCATGACCATGGCAGAGGCAGTAGTGATGAGCTCTTATTCTAGTTCAGGCAATATTTTAAGCTCTTTATAGATGCTAACTCAAAATTTAATCCATACAACCATCCTTTTAGAAGGATGCAATTATTATTCTAGATCCACACTGAGCTTACATAGTTTGGCTCTTCACCACTACACTATCAGAACTTTATCAACAATGCTAAGCAACTAAAAACCACTGGATACATGAGGAACATCAGCAGCTTAAATTAAGGAAACAAGCTATACGGTCATAGGAAATAAAGTCATTGATAAGAAATTAATGCAGAAAAAAGGGGGAACATTCAAATAATTTACAATCTCAATGAGATTTGAGAGAATATTATATCTCCATAAAAGCCATTTATTTCAAAATGAAAAAATTCACCGTGTCAGAAAGCATTATTTTTAAAAAATACATTATTATTCTTTATAAATACATGTTTTTCTTAGAATTCTAAATATAAAGATCATTAAAATTCTTAGAAAGAGGGCCGGCCCGGTGGCGCACTGGATAGTGTGCCGCTTGGGAAGCGCGGCAGCGCTCACTTTCCCTAGCCAGCAGTTCCTCTTTATTGATGTCATGCAGTCTAGAGCAGCAGTAGCCACGGAACTGCTATCCTTTGAGGTTTGGGGCAGGTCTTAATATAGAATTTTTACTCTCCCTTCAATGATGTGATTTTTATCTCTCTGGTCACTGCCACCATATGTTTGGGAAGTGTGGTCCACAGTGTGGTTTAAAGTCTTAGGAAAAACACCTCAATGTTTTAAATAAGCACTGTATTAGTAATAAGTATACAAAGTGGTAATACATAGCATACCACAAAAAATACTGCATTAATGACATATATATAATAAACACAATGCTGATAATATGATGCCAAATGAAGTCTCAATAAATACAATAATAAATATTACCTCTCACTAATTACACATGAGCTGGCAATCTACTTCCCCCAAAATACTAAATAAACAAAAAAAAAAAAAAAAATTCTTAGAAAGAAAAAGTAAGTCAGACTGGCCTCTCATTTCTCACTCAAAACACTGAATGGTAGAAGATGAAGCCCTCGAGTTTCAAGCATTCTGAGAGAAATTTTAATATTCAATACTTAGTAAAGCTATAATTCATATAGAAATGCAAAAAAAAATTTCAGGCCTTTGAGGAACAAGAGTATACCACAAATATTTCTGAAAAAATTATTTGCGGAAATGTGGTATTATATTATGACATGGTAGGCAATATCCCACCTTCTAGCACATACAGCAGGAGTCAGAAAACTAAACACTTTTGCTGTTGTTCCTAGACTCTTTTGCATCTATGGTTCTGGTTGATAATTAGATTCCAGTAAATAGATAGATTTATTTGTATATGATCTGGAACTTAGAGTGAGCAGGGGAAATGTGCTGATTCTTAGCTACTCTCTTTTGGCAAGCACATCATGAAGATACTGAGGTGTTCTATACCAGTGTTCAAGTGAGCAATTACAAATCTTTTTGGGTACCTACAGCCAATTGATATGCTGGTATTAGCAGCTTCCTGTTTTCCCATTTTTCTGATCATGGGAAAGGTAGCAGCTCTTTCTGGTTGGTCAGTTCCTTGGCTTTGTTTTGCAAGCCATTCCTGGAAGCCAGACCTCCTGGAGAGGTTGCCCCTCCAATTCTTCCTACCACAATGTAAAAGCATCCAATTCTTTGTGTTAAATCCTTCTCTGATAGCATGGGGAGTCAGCCATCTGCTATGGTTTGAATGTGTGCCCCACCAAAATTCAGGATGAAATTTAATTGTCATTGTGACAGCATTAAGAGGTGAAACCCTTAAGAGATGATTAGGCCATGAAGGCTCCAACCTCATGGGAGGGATTGGTGTTGTTATAAAAGGGCAAATTCAGCCCTCTCTTGCTCTCTCTTGCCTTTCTGCCTTCTGCCATGAGATGATGCAGCAAGAAGACCCTCATCAGATGCCAGCCCCCTGATCTTTGACTTCCTAGCCTCCAGAACCAATAAATTCGTCTTCATTATGAATTATCTAGTCTCAGGTATTCTGTTATATGAGCAAAAAATGAAGAACCCCCCCCCCCCCAAAAAAAAAGAATATGAAAAGTATGTGATAATAAAGACTGAAAAGTTTCTTTGCAGGGAGCTGTTGCCAGCTATAAATCACTACTCTGCCCTCTGGGGAAGGACAGGGAGGAGTATTACCTTCTAATCCTAAACTCAGTAAGGTGGACGTTTTAAGGGGGAAAAGGACTCTGGAAAGTATATTCTGAAGTTGTGACACACGGAGGACTGGTGTCTGGCTCATGTCTGAGACCGCTTTAATCGAGGAGCCAGGAGAATGCTTACTGCCTTTGTGACTGGCCTGAACTCTTAGAGTTTATTTGGCAAGCTGATGCGTATGTACTTCCCATGGATCAAATGTAGCCAGGCAGGAGATTTGGTTTTGTTATTACCATGGGATAGTTATGTATCCCACAGATGTGGCAACCTGGATGTATGAGGAGGCCTCAGCAAACAGGCTACTGGCATAGCACTGGAGGTCCAGAGACTAAGGATGTTGTAAGCAGCAAGTGGAATATATGTGCACCAAAAGGGACCAGGGAATTCAAGGAGAGTGAGGTACAACAATAGAGAACTTCTAGAAGCCCAAAGAAGTGCTCCGTAAGAGTAAGCTTTAACCACTTCTAGGGCCAGAGAATGCAAAGTTACCTTATAATCAACCAGCTTGGGTAACTAGGAAGAAAAAGAATGGAAAGCCTTGTTTGAAACCTCTCCTGACTCTTGTATAAAACATAGGAGAAGCAGTTCAATCTCAAAGGTACCAAACTAAAATTGTGTACAAATACTAATTTGGTAGAAAAATTTTTTTCTGAAGATTTTAAGTGAAAATCTAGCACAATAATTTAGCATATTGAAGGTGCATATTTGAGGGTACTTCCAAAAGTTCATGGATAGAGTTGTATTACCTTTTAATTCTATTTTTGCACAAACTTTTGGAAGGGCTCCCATATAAAGTATTTGATATTCTCCACAATTAATTAGGAAAATAGGAGAAGCATTTGTCTAATTTTAGTAGAACTACAAGATTTTCTTTCCTAGGAGAGAATAATTTCAGAATTTTTGTATTCAAGGTAAGTAAGAGCCAACACAGAGTATGCACAGATGAACTGCAGTTAAAGATTATAAAAAAATCGACAGACACAGAAAGTACACACTTGAAGATTATGCCTAAAAAATGGAAAGCCAAATTTTAAAACATCAAATAATTTAGTCTTGGTTTTAAAATCAAGACTTGGAAACTCAAGTCAATGTTATTTTAGCTTAGCTTTTCAGCATGTTTCAGGAATTTTTTCCTAAATATAAGTATCAATTAGAATTAAATCATAAATCAGAATTAAAAGAATGTCCATTTTC